TCCCCCAATCGTGTGCCGAAGTCCTGACCCCAGTGCAGTGGTGTCGGAGGTGGTGGCTCTGGAAGGTGATTAGGTGACGAGGTGCAGCCCCCAGGAACGGGATCAGGGCCCTTACGAGAGCGGAAAGGAGACACGACCTTCCGCTCTCTGCTCCCCACCACGTGGGCACACAGCAAACCAGGAAGGGCGACGTCACCAGACACCTGATCAGCACCTTGATCTCGGACTCCCCAACCTCCCGAACCGTGAGAAATGAATGTCTGTTGCTAAAGCCACGCAGGCCACGGTCATATGTCACAGCAGCCAGAATGGGCTAAGACGGGGCGTTCGGAAAGCAAGCACTGGGGCCCCCAGTATTAATTAATTTATATGATTATTCTGACATGATGAATTCATTTACTTATGGAAAATTTGTATTTTTGCTAACCATGATAAATGTAAAAGCAAAGCGATGATTACGGAGAATAAACTCATCCCTACAACTCAGCTCGATCCCCAGCATCAGGGGTCGGCAAACTCTGTAAAGAGCCAGAAGCCTATTTCAGGCTTCGCAGGCCGTAAAGCCTGTTACAACCACTGCAACACCATAAAGTCTGTTACAGCGACTCTGCCGCCGTCGCGGGAGAGCAGCCTGAACCCAGCTGTAGCCCGTAACAGACGGGCCCTGCTTGCTTCACGGAAGGTGTATTTACAACAACAGGCAGGGCCAGATTTGGTCGCTGGGCCCGGCTTGGGGACCCTTCGTCTATGACATTTCTCTATAACTGCCACACGGGTTTGGGCTACGCAACAACGAACGGTGACCTTGCCCTGTCAGGGCCCCTCCTGGAGGACCCCCGGTGCCTCCTTGCACGCGGCGTCGCAAGTCTCGGCGACGTTCGCGGAGCTGCGCACACTGGCGTGGCAGGTGCCGTGGTCTGAACGGCAGGTCTGCTGCCCACAGCACGCGCTCCCAGGCCGCTGGCACGAGGGGCCCAGGACAAACGATGAGGGGGAGGGAGAGGGGCTGCAGGAGCCCGGCGACTTGTGCTGCTTCAGCACTGGCTTTGGGACAGTGAGGAGACAGGGAGCTGTGGAGGGATCAGCAGGGAACGTGCGGAAACCACGCAACCGTCCGTGACCTGGGGACGCGGGAAGAGATGGCGAGCTGAGAAAGGAACCCACTGCCAAAGGGCGGGGGGGAACGCAAAGTCTGAGAACCGACACGATCTTCAGTAAAATAGTGAAAACGTGGAATTCCTACGATCTCACCAGAAAACTAATTTAAATACTTAAAAGAAAAACACAGGTTGCCCAGTTTGGGGGAAGTCCCACCAGGAGCAGCTTTATAGCCCGTGTTTTTATTAATATTAACAAACTGTCTTTGGGATCGGTGCAGCGGGGGCCTTGATCACCTCCGAGTGGCTCAGGCAGCCTCTGAAGAGCCCCAGCCTGGCTGTCCGCTCCGCTCCCTGGCAGCCGCCTGGCACCGGAGCAGGGGCACAGAGGTGGCTCTGCCCCCATGGATTTAACCCAGAAGGGGAGAGTGGCCTGGGGTTGATATACCGTGACTCCCATCAGAATCGGACCCTCTGCCAGGGGCAGGCTTCTCCCAAGTGTCCAACTCTGAAAGAGCCACTTTAGCCCAGACCTTCCTGCCCCAGAGGTGCGACCCTCCCCCCGCCCCGCACAGCCCACCCCACACCCCTTCGCAAGCCCCTCACGGCCTGGCCTCTGGCATCTCAACCACGCACCATGTGTCACCCCACCGCGGAGCCTCGCGCCCCCTAGGAGAGTCTCCCGTGTGGCCTACGGCTGTACCGGGATGGGCGGTCGATAAGGAATATAACATAAGACAATTCCTAAGTGCTGGTCCTCGCTGCTCTCTGCACAGTCCTGCCCTGTGATTCTTTCTTTTTTGGTCCCCACTTGGCTCTCTCTTCTTTCAGTTTATTCTCCTCAAAGCCTAGCGTCAGATATTTAAATGCTTCTTAAAGACAGGATTGGATCAGCGATGATTACAACAAAGCAATGGCCACGTGCAGGTCTCACAGAGCAGGCGAATAGATACTCCAGAATCTTCATCCCGTACACGGAAAGGTCATAAAATGCGACCCTCAGACTCCACCACAGGGTCATTCTAAGGCAGATAGATGTCTGCTTGTCTCTGCTAAGCACGTCATTTTACACGGAACAGAGCCGACAAGCGCCCTGCCAATGGAGTGCTCCCATCTCAATGCTAAGCCTGTCAAGTGACTTTCCCGCCACTCACGTGCACACTCACGTGCAGGCAGGACTGTTTCCCCGAAGTGCCGCTGGTATCATAAAGTTACAAGAATTCACAGCAACGAGTATTTACCATCCTGAAAGACCCTCTCCACGTTCAGCCCGTACGTGGCGCACGTCTCGTAGTACGTGCACCGCTTCAGGTCGTTGGACAGCTTCCGCGCCCTGGCGTCGTCGATGACCCTCGGGTTGGTGGAACTTATGGCATCTGGAAGAGAAGACCAAAAAGTCACAACGTGGTGACAATAAACAGCTCTAATTACTTCCTACAACTTCAGGGCTCCAAGTTGCTCAAAACTTGTCCCCTTCTCAGTAGAGATGCAGTTCTTGCATAAATTTTAAAACACAGTTTACCTCCCAAAGAATAGTCTCAAACACCAGAATAGCCATTCATTCATTAGTAGGAATTTGTTTTAGAGGAGAGCTTCTGAAATAAAACAAGGTCCAGAAAGGCCAGAAGGAAGGAGTAAGAGTGAAATACGGCTCTAGAGGAAACTACTTGAATAAAATAGAAAGAAAGAAACCACAGTCTCTATTTGCAGTCACCAGGTCACCTTCTTCACAGAGCACCTTGCTGAATGCTCTCCACACATGGGCATTTTCTTCCAGGGGCGGTCCCTTATCCAGTCACCCCTTGGATAAACGCTCGGCGAGCCCCCAGCAGGTGTCTGGGCCTGCTCTGCGCACAAGGATGCCCCGTGAACAAGACAGAACAGCGTTCTCTGGAATGTTCTCTGGAGTGCACGTTCCCGTTGGCCAGAGAGGGGGCAGAGCCCAAGTGAGCAGCGTGTGAGGAACGACTACGGATGCGAGATGCACGGTGCTGAGTGAGGCAGGGAAGGCGCTTCGACGGCTTTGGAGGAAGGACTCAGGGAGCCCCCTCACCTGCAGCAGGTGAGGGTGGCCGGGCACTACCTGGGCAGAGCACCTGAGGCAGGGGACGCAGGGCGACAGGTGTGTCTCAGGGAGATGCAGGGGGAGGGCAGGAGAGAGGTGTGTGGAGGGGGAGCCCCCGAGGGCCACGAGCGCGTGTGGAGAGAGCCCCCGAGGTTGTGACAGAACCCCTGGGCTCACAGGTGACTTGGATGCTCTGTGCACAGAGACACCTCGGCACCAGCCACTGCCCTAGCCCCTGCCCGTGCACTCGACCACGACTGCGCCACACACAGACGTCAACAGCGCTATGCCCAGGCACCTGTCAGACTTTCTAACCTGAAGTTGCTCAGAGGGCTTGAAGGCGCTCATGCAGGAGAAAATAATCAGCAACTCTTTAAACAAAAATCCACCAACAGATTCCCTGCTAGTCAAAGGCAGAGCAACACAAGTTACACGAGAAAGCAACGACCTTTTAAACTTTGTGTATTTCTGCGTGGGAAGGGTGTTCGGCACTCCAGGTTTTGAAGTATATTTAAAAAGTGACATCTTGGGGAAATAACGGATTCATTTTTTTCCTCCATCATCCCTTTTCTCCTGTTTTCTTCCCTTTAGCCCCGTGAGGTGGGTTTGAACTGACACTTCCTGATGACCCTCGGGTAAACTGTGAGTCACGGCTCTTTCACTGACAGTGTCCAGCACGGTCTCCACAGACTGTAGAGGACAGAGCCCTCCTCCTACCAGGGGGACAGAGTCGAAGAAAACCTCCTCCTGTCTTCTTGTCTTACCGATTAGTAAATCTGACTTCCATTTCACAACATTTAAGGAAAATCAGTATTTTTTAAAGGCATGAACATTTTCTAAAAAACTGTAGGAAAACAGTTAAACATCTGTAACTTCTCAATGTTGTAGTACAATGTGGAGACTCCAGGCCACAGAGCATCCACTTCATCCCGACCTGGGGCCGCAGCAATCCCGTAGGCCCTCCATCTATAGATACTGTTTTCCCCTCAAATCAATTTATTTTGCAAGTCTTTGAAACAGAGCCTGGGTGACAAACATTCAACAGCTGGCTCACCAGTGACATCCCGTCCAGGTACGAACGTTCAGGCAGCTCCGTGAGGACTGCCAGGATGAGCGCTCGTACCTGTGAGCCCTTCTCCACCTTGGGCTGAGGCCTGGCCCCACGCCAGGTGTCCTTAAAGGAAGGAACTTAACCCATCTTCGGTTCCTTCTCATCCCATAACCTCTGACCTCCAAAGCCAGCTGTCCCACCCAGCAGGGAGGGAATCCGCAGGTCCCCTCTACAACCTGGCCTGCCCTTTGTCTCCACATCCCGAGAAGCGCGTGCAACAGCAGCAAGAACGCGCAGGCTTCCCAGAACGCGGGTCTGCGCCGTAAATGAGCGTGTGCATGTGGAGCCCCGAGGCCCACACTCACCCCACCTTCCTGCCATCTGGGCTCCCAGGGTGCTCTGCGAGGTCTAGTTAAAGATCCAGAGGATCCTGTGGGCTAGGAGCGGCGCGCCCCTAACTGAAACACTCCTTCCCTGCTCTCCTGGGGCGTGGCCAGGCTACAGTGAACAGCTGGACTAGGAGGGATCTACAAGGCCCTCGTGGGAGGCTCGCCAGCTCCCCCAGTGCACACGGTGCCGGACTCAGAGCCTCACCGGTGGCCTTCCGGGCATTCTACAGCCGACAGACGGATGCTCAGAGAATTAGTGGAAATAAAAGGGAGTCATTTCTTTTAACTCAGGGACACTGGTTCCATTAGGGTTTCCCCAAAGTCTCTAAGTAGGCTCTTGTGGCCTCCTCTCCACATTCACAAACCACCCTCCTTGGCTCAGGCTTGGAGGGACACGCTCCTCCCTGGGGCAAGGACAGAAAGAGCTGGGACCTCAGGAAAGAGCTCAGGACAGCTCAGTAAAGCACACGCTGAAAGATGAGGAACAAGAGCAACTCGCATTAGACACCATCACGTGCCCCCTGACGCACTGAGGCCCCACGAGCTCCTCCGTGTAACCTGCCAGCGCCCGGAGGGGCAGAGGTCAAGGTCAGACAGCCCGCACCAGTCACACCCAGGGACAGGTGGCCCCAACACCTGGGGTCTCCGCCACTTCACCGTCTCCTGACAACGCTGGCATGCGCTGAGAGAACACACTCATCAAATCGGATCTTTCCAGCCCAGACCGGGAACGTAACTGCCACTCTGCAGGGTGAGTCTACAGCAACTGACTCTGCTCAGAAATGTCTTGCTCATGCCGCAGCAAGAGGTGCTTATTTAGAATTAATCTCTACAACTGCAAGGCAGCTTTAAGCAGAATCCTTCTGAGAGAAGTACCCACTTTAAAACATTACTTACTGGGCATTTGCAAGACGCCACTGCAAATATGACAATTCTGTATACTTGTAACAAGAACCAAGGACTTTTTATTGTGTGGCCTTGCCTCCTGGTGACCACCAGAGGGCGCTCTAGGCACAAAGAACCGGTGTTCAGCCCAGGTTAGCACCAACCTGTTCACCTGTTCCCACCTCCTGCTCTGAGGCTGCAGGAGAGTGACCACTGGCCATGACGTGGTCTCCGCTTTCAAAAACGTGGGGTTGGGGGTGGTACTCTCCATGAAAATCCAACTCTAACATTTTACATCTAGTACACTGAGAAAATGCTTCCTGTTTACTTCACGCAACTTTATTTCCCTCAACACACATGCCCACCTCCGTGACTCGGCCTTTTGCAGCCAAATACCCAGCTTGGGCTCTCTGACTCACAATACCTCGAATCGACTGGTGCCATGCCTGTGTTACCTCCCACGCCCAGAGTCTCACTCTGTCACCCCAGCTACAGTGCAGTGGCATCATTGCAGCTCACTGCAACCTCAAATTCCTCTGTGCCCAGCTAATTTTTTCTATTTTTAGTAGAGATGGTCTCGCTCTTGCTTAGGCTGGTCTCGAACTCCTGGCCTCAAGTGATCCTCCCACCTCAGCCTCCCAGAGTGCTAGGATTACAGGCACGAGCCACCAAGCCCGGCCCCACACAGCTAATTCTTAGTGAGAAGAGGCTTCCACCAGGAAGGGCACACTAGATATGCTAATTCTGAAGGAACTTAGGAAGAACAGTCTATTAGCTGGAAAAAGAGAGAGAAGAGATAATACAATTTTTCTTGACATGCTTATTTGTTAAGTTATCCGTATTTCTGACAAAGCCAAGCTTCACCCGATTTTTAAAAACATTCCATGTGACATCTTAGCGAGACCCCAGCGGTACACCCAGTACAACAATGACTCTGTGGTCAAGAACAAGGATGCTGTGTCTGATCCCATGTGATGGTCACTTTACTAGGAGAACAAGTTTTAAGTGGCCGAGAAGAAAACAAGAAATGTGCCCAGCGTGATTCTATACTGAGGGACCTGCTAGATTAAAAATAAGGTCTAGCTCATAAGACACTGACAAACAGAACAGAATAAAACAAAACTCTGCTATGTTAGAAATCAATATTATTTTAAAAATGCACCAAATAGTTAAAATAAGCTTTTCAATTGCTTACACATTATTTTATACAACAGAGAATTAAAATATCATAATATAGAAAACAAGAGAAAATAGATGTTATTTTTCTAAAGTGCTTGGGTGCGTGTGGGGTGT